ACCAGTGTCAGTCAGTGAGTCTACTGACTTCTCAACACACACACACACGAGTACACACACACACACACCAGCGTCAGTGAGCCTACTGACTTCTCAACAACACACACACACACATGAGTACACACACACACACACACCAGCGTCAATCAGTGAGCCTACTGACTTCTCAACACACACACACACGCACACACACACGCACACACACACACGAGTACACACACTATGAGAGCCCTTCTTCTCAGCGGGTTCTGCCCAGAAATGCCGAGCCTCAGCCAGACTGACTGGCAAACACCCTCAGGAACCAAACACCACGCCCTGTGTATATTTGCGCATTCTCTTCTGTACTTCCTCCTTCTTCCCGTCCGTGGGCACGGACACTTGAGAGATGCCTGTAATGAAACACAGCATTCCAGAATACATGGCCGTCCCTCATGTTGCCCTCGCCAGGACTTAGATCCGTAGTTGCTCTTTCAGTTTGGAGCCTGAGGCTGGCCACTTTGCTGTGGACCCAGGACCGCCTGCGTCTGCCCCGCACTCTGGGGGGGCTGTCGGGCTGGGTGGGACAGTTGTGCTGCTCCTGGTCTCGACAGGGGACTCTCTGTAGCTGATTTGCTAACATGGTAGTTCTCAGCCTAATCTGTACATTTAAATCATCTGGGAAACTTAAACATTCAGACTATTGGACTGTACCCCCAGAAATTCTGAGTGAGTTAGTCTGCAGAGTGGCCTGGACGTGGAGACTTTTGGAAGTTCTCCTGGGTGATTCTAGTGTGCACCTGGCACTGAGAACGGTGGGGATACGGAGGCTCGTGGTGTCTTTTTTTAAATTTTATTTTACTGAGTTGTAGTCAGTTTAAAAAAGTGTTTTTATTTCGTGGTGTTTTCTTTCGTCAGGATAACAGTGCCCAGGGGAGCTGAGGCGCAGAAGAGAAGTGTCCCCTTCCAGCTGCTCCTGCTGCTGGAAAAGATGCAGGATTGCCGGCAGAAAGCAGTGCAGCCCATGCAGCTGGCCTACTGTCTCCAGAAGTACAAAGTGCCCTGTAAGGCAGCCCCCAGCCCTGGGACGGTGGGGGGAGGGAGGGGGGAGGAGGGATGGGGGAGGGGGAGGAGGGCAAGGGCGGGCCAGTGAGTGGACAGGGGCGAAGCCCTTGTGGTGGAGGCAGCGTGTGGGTCTGAAATACTGAAGAGCCCACATTCTTTCAGGTGCAGCATTGGTATTATTTACGCACACTCACTCTTTTTCTGCCTCTCAGTAGAGAAAGTAACCCTAAGAGTCTCCTCAAAGCTGATTCAGCTGCAGGTGAAGGGTCCTAGGGAAACAGAGTCAAGAATGCCTAAGGAGAAACCATGTTCTACACAAGAAAACTCTTCAACAGCTTAAGTTTTTTATTTCTTTTACAGCCTCAATGAGATATATGCCACATACTATAAAATTCAATCATTCAAAAATGTACATACAATTCAGAGGTTTTTTAAGTATTTCACAGAGTTGCACAGTCATCGCCACAATCTAATTTTACCAGATTTTTGTCACTCCCCAAAGGGAGCCCCCGCCACTTAGCAGTCACTCTCACCATTCTCCCTTGTTTTCTTCTAGGCTTTATAGTTTTGGCTTTCACGTTTAGATCTGTGTTTCATCTTGAGTACATTTTTGTGAGTGGTGTGAGATGGGGTCCAGTTTCGTTCTTCTGCATGTGGGCGTCCAGTTGTTCCAGTGCCATTTGTTGAAAGTATTATTCTTTTCCCACTGAGTTGTTCTGACACTCCTCTGGAAAACCAGTTGACCATAAATGTAGGTGTATGTTTCTGGATTCTAATTCTATTTCATTGATCTCCGTGTCTGTCCTTATGCCAGTACCACACTGTCTTGATTACTGAAGCTTTGTAGTAAGCTTTAATATTGAAAATGTGAGTTTTCCAGTTTTGTTCTTTTTTCCATAATGCAGACTTTCTTTTATTGTGCTTCACTTTATTGCACTTCACAGATATTGTATTTTTTAGAAGTTTATTGGTTTGTGAGCGCAGCCGTCCCCCACATCCCCAGGAGATCCTCC